AACATTTTTTAATGGTAGAATTATAAGATGAAAAGGTATTTGCAAACGCACAACACTACAAACTATTTTTTAGAATTACGGAAAATAACCATAAAATGGTTATACTGGAACTACGCAATTTTTGAAAATCGGTTAGTTTTGAAAGGACACAACCACAAAACAGTTACATTAAAAATGCGCAGCCCTTAAAAATAACGATAAAGTGGTTATATTGAAAAAACACAATATTTGGAAATAACCATAAAAAAATTATTTAAAAAAAAACACAACCATAAAGCGGTTATCTACATATTAAATGCAACATTTGGAAATAATTAGAAAATAGTTATATCAAAAAGACGCAACCCTTGGAAATAACCATAAAACGGTTTTTTTCTAAAGGACACAATCTTAAATAACCATAAAGCGGTTATATAAAAAGGCAACTTTTGAAAAAGAGGTTATATAAAAAATAAGACAACTCTTAGAAATAATTTTAAAGCGGTTATATTGAATAAACGATTTTTTTCGAAAAAACACAATTTTTGGAAATAACGATAAAGCGGTTATTTTTGAAAAAACACAACCATAAAGCGGTTATCTATATAGTTAGATGCAACCTTTGGAAATAACCATTATACGATTATATCAAAAAAACGCAACTCTTAAGAAAACGGTTATATAAAGAAGACGCAGCCCTTAGAAATAACCATTAAACAGTTATTTCCAAAAAGACATAATCTTAAATAACCATAAAGCGGTTATATCAAAAATGCAACTCTTGTAAAATCGGTTATATGGAAAAAACGCAACTTTTGACCCACAAAAAAACGTTTTTCCTTCCTCACTCATTTCACGGATTAGAACCATAGCTATTCGTCTAACCAATAGAATAATTCATGGATTTTTATGCCATTTAAATTAATTTATTTTTCATTTTAGAATTTTAAATCGTCCAATGCATATAAAAAATATAATTGAAAACCAAATTGCTTGTGGGTGCCTCGATTTTGTAGTAATGTTAACGCGATTTCAATATTTTGATGTATACAACCCGTAAAAACTTCTTTCAAATATAAAGAATCAATGTTTCCGTAGAGAATTGTTATATTTTATTAGTTTTTTATATGTAAACTTTGCCATAAAATCTACATTGTCTAAAAAAATCTAAAATTCTTTACACAAATCAAGAATTTTTGGAACTTTATAATAGTAAAAACTTTAATACTATTAAATAATTTGAAAATAATCGAATGACTTTTTTTATCTTTGCTATGTGTTAAGTTAATTACAGAAACAGTAGACATGATTAACAAAATGTTCAACGAGATAGAAAGTGAAAAGATACATTTCCTCTGTTTCAAAATATAAGTTGTTTTAATTAAAGTCGCGAATATTAAAAAACTACTTTTCTT